GGCAAGAAGAGGGTGTGGGGGCTATTGGAGGGGAACTGGGGGGCAGTAGAATGGGTTGGGGGGGCAGAAAGGGGATAGAGGGGCATTGAGGGGCACAAGAGGGAAGCAGGTAGGTTGTGGGGGACAGGAAGAGGGTGTGGAGGGTATTGGGGGGCACCATAGTGGTGGTAGGGATAGGAAGGGGCTGGAGGAGCAGAGTGGTATTGGGGGAATAGGAAAGAGTTGGGGTGTAGTAGGAGGGCAGGTTTAACTCCCGCCTGCCCCACACTCACCATTGGTGCCCCCGGGAGGTCGGGACACAGACCCCCTGCGTTCTGCAAAACATGTTGGGGAGAGAGGTCATGAGAATATCCCCAGGCCCTGCCCCACCAGAGCCTCCCACCCTCATGCCACCCCTCCGCACATACACCTGGACCCCAACCCCCCACGCTGTGGGATGCTGGGGGACTCACCTTCGGCTATGGTGGGGGGCAGAGCTGGAAGCTGCCGCTTGTCTGCAAGGAGGAGACAGTAGTGAGGGTGCGGGGCCCCATCCTGGGCCTGATTCTGGGCCTGATCCTGGCAGGTCAGGGCCAGGGTCCGGGTCTAGATCTGGGGTGAGACTCACGGGGGCTAGGGGGATACGTACCAAGCCGCTGCTGACGCTTCTTCATCTTCTCATCCACCAGGGCCCGGAAGACATCAGCTTCACCCTCATGTGCAAAGTTCAGCCCAGCCTGGCACTCCTGGGGGGCAGGGGCAGTGCATGGGGGGAATGGCATGGTCCCGGCCCCCCGGCTGGTCCCATCCTGCCCAGCACCAGGGCATCCGTGTGGGGAAGAGTGCAATACCACACCCCAACCCCCACTCTTAGCCAGCAGAGGACCCAGGCATCCAGGCTTCAGCTCCAGCCTACCCCCCAGACCTGCTCCTCCTCCTAGAACGGATTGGGAAGTCAGGTGTCCAGGCTCCCAGCCTCTGCTCCCCCCCAACCCCTTCCTGAGAACCCAGGTGTTCAAGATCCAATCCCTCCAAGACCTGCCCCCTCCTAGAACTGGGATAAGAACTCAGGCATCTGGGCTCCCAGCTCCATCCTGCCCCCCCTCCAGAACTGGGATGTGACCCAGGCATCCAGGTGGGGACCCAGGCATCCAGAGATGCTCACGTCAGCCGGGAAGGTGTGGAAGAATGCAGTGGCAGCAATGTAGGTCATCTGGGCATAGAGCTCCTGCTCCCACAGCAGCTGTGACCCCTATGTGGATAGACAGACGGATGGACTTAGTCTGGACACCTGGGTTCCCTGGCTTGCGTTGTGGTTGTGGGGAGGGGTGGGGAGGGGTGGGGAGGCTGGGAGCCTGGATGTCTGGGCTCCCTGTCTGTTTCAAAGAGTGGCTGGGAGGGGACCCAGATGACTGGGTTCCTTGCCTATCCTAGGGGTCAAGGTTTGAGGGCAGGGAGGGCAGGGGGAGGCAGTCCCAGGCTCCTGGATGTCTAGGTTCTCAGCCCATGCTAAAGATTGAAGTGGTGAGGGGCTGGAGTTCCAGGTGCTTGGGTTCCCTGTGTTTCCTAGGGGTTAGGGACTGGGGCTATAGGCCCAGACACCTGGGTTCTTGGCCTATGCTAGAGGTTGTGGCTGATCCGGATCCCAGATGCGTGGGTTCTCTTCCCACCCTAAGGACTGGAAGGAGGAGTCTAGGGGGCCAGATAACTGGGTTCTCTACCCATACTAGGGGCTTGGGCAAGTGGGGGGCTGGGTCCTGGACGCTTGGGTTTTACATCTAGACTAGAGGGTCAGGGTTGAGGTCGGGGGGTGGGGGTTTGGGGTCCCAGATTCCTGGGTACCCTGTCAATATAAGGGGTCAGGGTTGGGGTCAGGGAAGGTGGGGGCTGGGGAGGATCTCCCGGAGATGGGGTCCCACAGTAACCTGCAGGTCATAGAGGCGGATGAAATAGGAGCGCCGCGGGTTGTCCTTGATGAAGCAAACGACACCACAGCCCTGCTTGGCCCAGCCCCGGGCCCCAGGTGGCAGCGCCAGGAAGAGCTGAGCCACTGACGTAGCCAGGGTCTGAGGGTGGGGGAGGCCACAGGGGGTGGACATTAGACCTGCAGCCAGCCCCAATCCTGTGGTGCCCTTCACCCCTGACCCGCACCCTCCCAGCCCCAACTGTGTCCCTCACTACTGACCTGCAGCCCCCATAGTGGTACCCAGTAACTCCATAGTGGTGCCTCTCACTCCTGACCCGCAGCCCCCACAATGGCACCCCTTACTCCCTACCCGCAGCCCATCCCCTCATGCCCCTCACTCCTGACTTGTACCCCGCTCAGTTGTGTCCCTCACTCCCAACCCTCAGCCCTGTGGTGCCTCTCACTCCCAACCCATAGCCCCCCGCCCCTTCCATGGTGCCTCTCACTTCTAACCCACAGACCCCCCAGGCCTCACCAGGCATTTGCGACCCAGGAGCTCGAACACCTGCTGGTTCTCATGGGGCTGGAGGAGACAGGAGGGGACGTGGTCCTGGGGTCCTGGGGCCCCGATACGGCCCCCACGGCTCATTGTGGCTCCAGCCTTGGCCCTGGCTGGTCTTTGGGTCCCTCTGGGCCTGGCCGCACCCCAGGGAACTTCCGCAGGAAGCTCTGAAACCACCAGGCAGCGCAGGGGGAAGTGACATGCATAGAATAAGTGAACAGAGGACTCTGGCTCTGGTGCTACTGCGAGGGCTTCAATTTCTTCAACCACAGCACACACATCAGGGACTGCCTGTTGGGAACAGATGGCATCCACCTCACACCAAAGAGGAAGAAGCTTTTCTTGGTTAGAATGGCATACCTCCTGGATAAGGCTTTAAACTGAGATGGCCAGGAGATGGGCTATCAACTATTAGTACAAGCCTGAGAAATTACAATCTTGAAGCCAGATCCCAGGGTACAATAGGAAGCATTCTCCGACACCGGCCAATGGATAGGTTATTCCACAGCTCACCAGGTGTCACAGGCAAACTGAATTATGTTAAGGCTTTTTAGCCATAGTCCAGGCCTTCCCAGAACTAAGCAGCAAAATTGAACACAACGCCTTCTGTGGCATTGGGAGAGGCGAGTGCTGTGCTTGGGCACTAGGTGAGCAAGACACAAGAGTTTCCCTATAAGGAATATATCTGACACAGTGCCAGGGGATTGGTGCATCACGTAAAGAGTGCTTGGCACAGAGCCAGGGGATTGTACTATTTGGGATGAAACAATTAAAAAGTAATGAACAAACAAAGGAATATGTATGTTTTGTGTTGTATCTCTGGGGAGTCAGAAGCAACCAGAAACTAAGAGCCCACACACCCAGTGGAGGACCTGAGGCCTGGTACCCCTGAGGGTCACTGCTGTAGCATCTAAGGAGCCACTTGCCAGGTTGTATTATGGGGAGAAAACCTGTAATATTGTCAAGGGCAGGGGTGTCCAACCTTTTTGAATGTGGGGCCGGATCATGAACTTTTTATCACCCAGTGGGCTGGCAAGCCATATTCAAACACCCTCTGTCCTGGGCCAAAGAGACCCTGCTTGTGTAGCCCTACTGCACCTGCCTGTTACGGCAAGGTTCATAGTAGTTGCTGGTGGGCAGGGGCAGGAGGGACCCATTCTGCATCCAGCCAGCTACTGCCCCAGAGACAGAAGGGGAGAAATAAATAGCTCCACATCACCATCCCCTGAGCAGCGCAGCCCTACGAGCC